CCCCCTACTGACCTGACCTAACCTGTCTACTCCCGCGTGTACACAGGGAGCTGGCGGTGGAGTGGGCGCAGCTGCTGCGACTGGAGACCGCCCTCGAGCCGGCAGACATCGAGGAGGCCGTCCACAAGCTCAGCGGCCGCTCAGAGTCCGCGGCGCACGTCAGCGCACTGGAGAGCGCCGTCACCCACGTGGTGAGCTCAGTGACGGGGAGGGGGACACCCACGTGGCGGGCTGGACAACCACATGTTTAGTTATGGCGGGAAACTCACGTGATCAGCTTAGTGGCGGGAAGAGACTCCCACTTGGTCGTTTAGTGGGAGGAGCGCCACGCTGTTAATTTTCGTCGTTGGTCGTGCGTTGGCCGAAAGGCCGCCGGCTGGTGCCGCATTAACAAAGGGTCGCCGGTTTTCCAAGTAGCCGCTGTTTAGTTTCCTTGAGGCGATTTAAGTAAGAGGTAATTGATTCCGGACTTAATTTGCCTTCAAGATGTTGCATTTTACTTGCATTTCGTTCTGTTTATGTAGCATTACGACTGCCACCTGAACCTTAGATCACGTTTCACCGCTGAACACTACAGTCCGGACTCTCTAGCCTGGTTTGTCGCAGTTGACCTAGCTTTCTCTAACTTTGTTCTCTTCTCCCGGCAGTTCGGCGCCCAGATGCGGCCGCTGGCCATCGAGCTCTGTGTTCGCGCGCTCATACTCGAAACCAACCGGATGGAGCACCTCAAACTGCTGCACGACGCGGGCGACGCGGCCGCAACGGCGGCGGCGCCCACCGACGACCAGACGGCCTGCCGGCGCGGTCTGGCCGCCGGCTTCCAGCGGCTGGCTGAGCTGACCGCTGACAACCCGCACGTCAGCAGAGAGTGCGTGCTCACCGCGTTCTCGCTGGAGCCGAGTGCTGCCACGCTGAGGCTGTTGGTGCGTCTGGCGCAGACGGCGGGCTCTGGGGCGGTCGCTGAGTCGGCGGACGCTGGGATTCCGGCGGAAGCGGTGAACTCCGCGCCACCGCCGGAGTCGGGCGTGGAGCGGAAAGTCTCTGATGAGACGACAGGACAGGACGGGCCGACTGCCGCGCCCAGCGATGGTGACAGTGTACAAAAGGACGAGCCGGCGCCGCGGGCCGACAGCATAGTGGACGAACTCGCCACCCGCTTTGCTGCGCTAGACAATGAGCGGGTCGAGCCGGGGCCGGTGGGGAGCGAGAGCTCGTCTGCGCCGGAACGGGGCGGGGACGCGGGGGCAATGGAACAGTGCGCAGACTCAGTGAGCGCGGAGGACGGAACAGTGAGTGAGGGGAACAGTGCAGCAGACAAACCCGAGGACAGTGTGGTAGTAAAATCTGAGGACAGTACAGCGGTGAAGGCTGAGAGCGGTGACGATCCAGCGCCGGCGGGCGGTGACAGCCGACGCCGCTGCTGCTCAGCGACGGCCGAGGACGGCCGCGCAGAGGGCGGCGGGTCGCCGTGCGCGGCGTGCGCGGCGGCCGGCTCGGGGCGGCACCGCTCCCTCTCCGAGTCGGACCCGACGTTCGTGGCCTGCGCCGACGGTCTGATGGACCAGCTGCGCTCGGCCGCCGCGCCGCCGCCGTCCCGATCACCGTCCCCGGACAGCGACCGGCGGCTGATGGAGGCGCTGCTGAAGGCCCAGCACGCCTCCGACGAGAGCTACGACGTGCTGCGCGGCTGCGGCGCGGCGCTGGACGCGCTGGGCGTGTCGGAGCAGCTGGCCGCCGACCTGCTGGTTGTGCTCAGTTCCAACCGCTGGAAGATGCTGTCCTGGAGCCGCGACTGGTCCGAGCTGTACCCCGTGTGCCGCGCCTACCTGCGAGACCCCGACGGCCTGGTCAACACCACCAAGGAGCTCAAATTTCTGGAGATCGACTACAGTCAGTTCATGGGCAAACGGGACGAGGAGCCAGACGAGTTTGACGGCATTGAGAAGGGCTACGAACGCTACCTGCACGGCTCAGACCGCGAGACGGATACCGAGCACAAGTCTTCCTCCGGCGCGACTGCTAAGACAAAAAAGAAACATTCCAATAAGGCGAAGAGTGAACCTTTGACACAGGAGCGGAAGGGTGATTTGTCCGCATCGGACGAGAATAGCATATCGGAACCTCTTGCTAAGGATGACTCGCTTGAACCGAATGTGAAGAAGCTCTCCAAAAAGAAGCCGGGCAGAAAACCCGGTCCAAAGAGAGAGGAACCCACACTGCCAAAGTTTGTGAAGACTACAAAGACTGCCACTCAGAAAGTAAAGAAGTGCCGGCCGCTGGCGATGGAGGGTAAGCGGGTTACGATTCAGCGCGAGCCCGGGAAGCGGGGCCGCGGCCGGCCGCGTAAGACGCCACCGACCGTGTGTCCGGCGCCGGCCGCCTGGAACGAGAAGCTGGCCATGCTGCGACGGTACATGGAGGAGCGTCAGCTGCAGCAGCTGAGCCAGCAGGTGACGCCCCCGCAGACACCGCCGCCGCCGCCGCCGGCAGTGCGCCGCCCGGACGGCTCGCCGTCCGACGCCACCAAACTGCTGCGCCAGTTCCGGCCCGACAAGCAGCTGTCGCCGGCGCGCTCCCCGGAGCGGCGGCCGGCCGCGCTCGGCACCGCCACCAACTTCTACCCGCGCGTCCAGCTGCAGGCCAAGCTGAGCTGGCAGCCGGAGCCGGCGCGGCCGCCGTCCGATCCGCCGCCGCTGCCGGCCGACCGGCAGACGGACGACAACCCAGACAGTTTGCTGAAGGCCTCCATCAGACGCCGGCTGAAACGGAGTATAGTGGCGCAGATGCGACATAGGCTCTCAGAGACACTGCGGGACAGGATGGGTTCGAGCTCGTCCGAGTCCTCGCGGCCCCCATCGGTATGCGCTGACGAGAACCGGCGCAACTCGGCCAACGTGGCTGCCGCGCCCGCACAACTAAAGAACGTGCGCATCCGCAAGAAGCTGCTGAAGAAGCACTCGTCACTGCGTAGCGTTCGCATCAACCGGCCCAAGCAGAGTCTGTGGAACACGCCTCTGCTACTCGAGCCGGGGGAGAAGCAGGAAGAGGTGCCCGAGTTTGACTTCAGCCTGGTGTCCAAGCTGCCGGACGTGGTGCCGCCCCAGGATACGCTGGTCTACCCGGTGCACTCGACTCCCTCCTCCACCAGCGGTACTCCACAGACCCCCTCCCAGCAGCCGCAGCCGCCGCGCCGGCCCAGGAACAGCCGGAATAACTCGGGCGGCGGCGGGGGCAGCGGGAGTGGCGGCGTGTCCGCGCGGAACCGGGCGCCCTCCGGCGGCAGTCGCTCCAAGAAGGCGCGCACGGACGCGGCGGCCGAGCAGCTGTCCTCGTCGGGCGGCGGCGGCGGCGGCGGCGGTGACCTGTCGCAGCCGGGTCCGAGCGGCAGCGGCGGCGGCTCGTCGGAGGCGCCGGCGCCGCCGTCGGGCGGCCGGCCGGCGGCGCGCACCATCTCCTTCCAGGAGGTGCTGCGGAAGGTGGAGGAGGCGGGCGAGCGGAGCTCCGGACAGTCGGCCGGCCTCAGTCGGCTGCTGCAGACGCCTCTGGATGGAGCCAGCGGAGAGCAGGAGACCATCACCCTGTACCGCTCGCAGGACACCTCCGTATCGCAGACCTTCATACCCTCCAGCAGCCTGACGCCGACTCTGGTAGCCACCAGTTCGGGCGGCGGCAGCGGTGGGCAGACGCGCGCCACGCCGGCGCGCACGCCGACAGTGGTCCGCCACCCGCAGGTGCCCGAGGTCAAACAGGTGGTGATCCCGCCGGCGCTGCAGCAGCAGGCCGCTCGGCTCCAGCAGCAGCAGCAGGCGGCCGCCGCCAGTCAGCAGGCCAGCCAGCTGTCCCGGCTGCTGAACCAGCGGCTCGAGTCTCCGCCACCGGTTTCGTCTGCGCAGGACGCGTTCTCGTTGCTACTGGCCAGCTCTCGGCCGCAGCAGCCGCCGGCCGTCAGCTCGTCACAGCTCTCAGAGATCCTGTCCCGGCCGCTGGATACGTCCGTGCCGCGTCAGGTGAAGACTCGGGAGCTGGCGAGCCTGCTTACGTCCCCATCTACCTCAGCGGCGGGCTCCAGCGCCCAGCAGCAGCAGCCGGCGGCGGCGGCGGCGTCCGAGACGGCCACCAGCAGCACAGTAAAGACTGAGACCACTCCCACCGACGAGGGCCTGGTGGGGCGGATCGCCGACTACCTGATGCGGCCGTCCCCTCAGCCCCCGGAGCCGCCGGCCACCCCGACTCCTACGACCCCCACTCCGACTCCGACTGCGGCCCCGGCGGCGGCGGCGGCGCCGGCTGCGTCCGCGCCCTCCGCGCCGGCGGCCACTGTAGTGTCGGCGTCCAGCGCTCTGCCGGGCATCTCCAGCCTACTGAAGGTGTCCGGATCGCCGGTGTCCGGGGCGCCGCAGCGCGCCGTGGCTGCCACCGCGGCGGCTGGCTCGGCCGGGCCGCCGGCCATGCAGACCGGGCAGGTTCTGGTGCTGAACAATCAACAGAAACTGCCGCAGAGTATCCTTCTGCACGGCCAGCAGTACACACTGGTCAAAAAGGATTCTCAGGTGAGCGAAGCACACAAATGGGGAGCTGAGAGATTCGCGGAGTCCCTGACAAAAAAAAAAAACTAGATCGGTTATGCTATGGTTTACCTAAGGGTAGAGCAAACGAGGTTGCCTTTGTGTTTGCCTTCTAACTGTCGGTGTGATGTATGTTTGTTGATGACTGATGTTCTTCATCGCAGGTAATCAGCTGCGTCCCTTGTTCTAATGTATTTGCTCATTGACCGAGCTCGTTCTCCGTCACAGGTTATCTACGTGCCGACGGCCCGACTGATCCAGGCGCAGCAGCAGCAGTCCGCCGCCAAGCAGCGTCAGCGACAACAGCAAGAACAGCAGAGACAACAGCAGCAGCAGGAGCAGCAGGCGGCGGCGGTGGCGGCGGCCGCTGCGCCCCCTCAGCAGCCCTCGCGGTCGGTGGTGGCCCAGCCGTCCGGCCGGAACACCATCCAGTACATGCCGTCAGCGGCGGCGGCGGCGGCGCCGGCCGGCGCCTCCAGCCCGTCCGTCTCCTCCACCACGCTGGAGCAGCTGCGCGAGTTCGAGAGCGTCCTGGAGGCGGTATCGACCCGCGCGGAGGCCACAGGCTCCGGCCACGAGGCCGCCCTGGAGCTGGAGACGCTGGTCGCCTCGGACCTGCTGGGCATCACACCCGAGTCGTCGCCGGCGCCGGCCTCCTCGTCTGGCGGCTCTCAGTTCGTGTACCCGCCGGCGGTGCCCGAGCCCGGGCCGCCCGACGACGAGAGCAGCCGCGGCAGCAGCAGCTCCAGCTACCTGGTGGGCCAGCCGGCGGCGGCCGCCGCCCCGCTGGTGACGCCCTCCTACACCCCGGACGCGTCGCCGTCACTGCCGTCCGTGGCGTCTACCTCCTCGGGAGTCAGCGGGTCACCGCTGGTCAGCAAACCCAAGCCAAAGCCGCTGCCGCAGAAGCTGAAGACGGCCGTGACGGCGCAGAAGCCGAAGCCGTTGGTGACGCCGACCCTGGTGAAGCCGTCGCCGGTGAAACAGGAGCTGGAAGACGACCAGACGCGCCAGCGGATCGCGGCTATTCTGCAGCAGTACCAACAGGACCTGGCCTGTAACCCGACGCCTACCCCGGCCCCGCGTAATCGCAAAAACCCACCCGTGTACACATCACGGGGCGGAGGCGAGGGAACCAGCAAGAGCAAGAAGAAGTCGCCCAACAAGAAAGTGGAGACGGTGGTGGGCAGCAGCTCATCCTCGCTCACCGTCGAGGACGACCCGCCGGCGAAGGCTTCCACCAGCCCGAAGCCGAGCAGTTCCCAGACGGCTGACGAGTTCGCTGACCAGAACAGTACCGAGACGGGTCTGCTGGCAGACGTCAGCGCCAGCGCGGCGGTGTCAGCGGCGGCGGCCGTCACCGAGTCTCCGGTGGCCGCTCCGCCGACTCCGCAGCCGGCGGCGTCCCCGCTGGTCTCCCTGCCGCAGAACTACCGTACCGTGCGCGTGGTGCGGCTGGTGACATCCGCCGGCCACCCGCACCTCCTGCAGACCCTGTCGGCGCGGCCCGGCCAGCAGCCGCTCATCGGGCAGCCGCCGGCCGCGCTGCTGCCGCCCTTCCACACGCTGTCAGCGGCCGAGACGGCCACGGGCGCGGCGGCGGCCGGCCTGGCCGGCTGGCAGACCATCTCGGCGCCGCACACGGCCGTGGTGACGGCGGCGGTGGCAGCGCAGAGCCAGCAGACGGCCGCCGTCAAGCAGGAGGCCCAGGAGTCGGCGGGCACCCCGCAGCAGCAGCAGCAGCCGGTGCAGCAGGTGCAGCTGCAGATCCAGCAGCCGCTGGCCGTCCAGCAGTCCCCGCAACAGGAGCAGCAGCTCTCCCAGCCCACCCACCAGGAGGAGGAGGAGAAGGAGCGTAAACTGACAGAGGACGAACAGCAGATGCTGGTCAACGTCAACGTCAAACTCTCCGACCGCGAGGAGGCGTCCGAGTCCCAGCAGAGCGAAAACAGTAAGTACAAACGCTGGCTGCCTGGCTGATGGCTCGCGAATTGCAAATTCATAAGGTCATGTCTTTGGATTTCTTTTAAGTTATATTCGCAGCACGATACTAGTAGATTTGGCTTATAATTTTTGTTCGAAACGTCTAAACCTTGTAAGCCGGTGCGTCGTGTAATTTTCTGGTTTGACAACATAATTTGCTGTACGTTTTTTTTCGCAGGCAACGAGGACGTGCGTATACCGCAGGCCTCGTTTTTCACGGAGCAGCTGCAGTCGTGTCTGTCAACTGGCGAGGAGCTGTCCCCTCAGCAGCAGCAGCAACAGCAGCAGCAGGAGGAGCAGCAAGACGACGAGCAGCAGCCGCAAGACGAAGACGATCCGGGCGAGGCGGGCACCAACGGCGACGACCGGCTGCTCGACTGCTGCCGGCCGTCGCACGACCCGGACGGCGGCGGCTCGGCGGGTTCGGAAGGATCCGGGCCGCCCACCCCGTTGCTCAGCCAGTCCTCTGTACACGTCATCACGGGCGTGCTGTCGTCAGGCGGCGGCGGTGCGGCGGCCGAGCTGCGCGCGTACCCGCCGCTGCCGCAGGGCCCGGCCGCCACCAGCGAGACGCTGGACGACGCGCCGCCCGGCAGCCTGGTGTACGGCGCCGCGCCGCCGCCCGACGCCGACGGCTTCTGGGCCGAGCTGGAGGAGGAGCCCGAGCTGCCCGAGCTGCCGCTGGAGCCGCGCGCCGCCGGCGGGGGCGCCGAGCTGGCCGTGGAGACCGCCTGGAGGCCCGGCCCGCTGGGCGCCTCCTCAAAGAGACTGCTGGCCAGCGGACCGCTGAGGACCATCAGTAACCGCCAGCAGCTGCTCACCACCAAAGTGGGTGCCGTGCTAAACGTGGCCGCGCCGCCGCGTAAGCAGGCGCCACGCCGCGTCCGCCGCCGGCCGGCCGAGCGGGCCAAGGCCGCCAAACAGACGAGCATGACGGCCATCCGCGAGCGGACACCATCGGGCCCCGGCTCTGGTCACGAGAGTGAGACTGAGAACGTGGAGCGCCGGATGGAGGCGGCCGCCGGAGACGGGCTGCTACTGCAGGCGGCCGTGGAGCTGGATCCACTGGCTATTACAGTCGCGCCACTGCCGGCAGCCAGACTGCCGGCCCCGGCCGCCGAGCGGCAGCTGAATACCTACGCCAAGAAGGACAAGAAGAAACTCAAACAGGTCACCAAAGTGGAAGCCAAGGAGAGTGCTCCTCCAAAGTCAAGCAAGGGCGTCCCGGCGGCAGCGGCTGCCATGGCTGCGGTGGCCCCCGCCGCGCGGCCACCCTCAGGAGCCACCGGAGCCGCCCAGCCGCCGGCCACAGGAGCCGAGACGAAGGCGAGCGTGCCGGTGGTCACCGCAGTGAAGCTGAACATGCCGTGGACGCCGCCCGGCTCTCCGGGCCGCCTGGTGACCGACCTGGCGTCACTGACCAACCCGGACTCGCCCCGTGTCTTCCTGAGCCGTCTGCGAGATGACGTGATCACGCCGCCGCCGCCGACCTCGCCCGCGGCGCGCCGGCTCGGCTGGAGCCCCTCGCGGCCGGCGGCCGAGCCCGTCTCGCCGGCAGAGTCGCCGCGCGTCTTCCTGAGTCGCCTGCGCGCCGAGGACGCGGCGGCGCCGGCCAGTCCCGGCGGCAGGCCGACCGCCGGCCGGGAGGCCGCATCGCCGCCCTCTCCCGCGCGCGCCAAGTCGAGCCAGGCGTCGCAGCCGGTCCGGGCCGGCCCGTGGCAGGTGGCGGTCGGTGGCGGCCTGGGCCTCACCTCTGAGACTGCTGTGGGTGGACCCGAGTCGCCGCCGGGCCGGCGGGCGTCCCAGAGACTCTCCGCCGAGCACGACACAGAGGACGGAGAGAAGCTGCGCGAGAGACGCGCGTCACAACGCCTACCTACTTCAACTGAGACCAGAACAGCAGAGGACGCGGAGCAGCCGCAGGAGAAGCGGGTGTCTCGGCGGACCGCGACCGAGCTGAGCGCCGCTGAGAGCGGGGACAAGCCCAGGGAGAGCCGGTCCTCTCGGCGGCCGTCCGGCTCGGCCGAGGGCGGCGCTCAGCGGGAGAAGCGCGCCTCTCAGCGTCGGTCCTCCGACCGCAGGGCGGAGACGTCCCCCGGCCGCCGGCCGAGCCAGCGCGCCAGGGAGGCCAGCGGGGACGGCCGGCCGGCGAGCGACGAGCCGACGGCATCACGGACGGCGGACAGCGACCGCGGCGGACTGACAGCTGTCGTATCACCGGTCGTAACGCGGCTGGTCGGGCGGCCCAGCAGTCGTGACGGACGGCGCCCGCCGGCGGCGGCCCCGGCCGCCAGGCGGGGGGCACAGCCCAGCGAGCCTGCCCCCGCGGCGGCGGCCGGTCGGGGTGGCAGCCAGCGACGTCCGAGCGGTGGCCGGCCCAGCGCCGCGGCTCGCCTCTGTAACGGCCGTGAGTCTCCTGCGCTGCGGAGCGGCCGCTCGCTGACCCCAGTGCCGGCCGGGCGCGGCAGCAGGACGGCGGACAAAACGGCTGGCTCCAACAAACCGAACACCGCGGCAACTAACCTGGACAAGGAGCAGAAACGAGCTGGGAGCGTGGGACGGACGAGGAAACAGATCAACGGCTTGGAAAAGACCCAGAATGGTCCGCGCGAATCTGAGAAGCTGAAGAAACCACAACTGACTGCGGATAAACCTGGCAAGAAGTCTGAAATACCTGACCACCAAGACAAGATTCAACGGAGGTCCGAGAGACCCAAGAAACGGTTGGAAGGCACCGACAAACTCGATAAACGTCAGGATGTTGTAGATAAAGTTAAAAGTAGTCAAGTGAGCGTAGAAAAACCCGTTACGCGGCATGACACCACCCTAGATAAACCCGTTACGCGACGAGGGAGTGTAGATAAACCTGTTGCACGACAAACGAGCGTAGACAGGTCGAGTTATCGGCCGGACAAGCTGGACATGCCTCATATACGATCGGTCAGCTTAGGCAGGAGGACTGGAGGCACCGACAAGCAATTGAAGCGGTCTTGGAGCTTGGAGAAACGTGACAACCGATCAGGGAGCTTGGACAAGTCCAACAAGCGACCAAAGAGCCAGGAGAAGCCCGGCGGCCGGCTGGGGTCGCCGGCGGTGACCGGTCGGCAGACGGAGGAGGCCGGCTCGGAGCGGGCCGGGCGGCCGGGGGTCACTCGACGGCCGGCCAGCCGCGCCTCCAGCGCCGCCACCCCGCCCCCGCCGGCGGCAGCGGCCGCCAAGGCGACCGGCGGACAACAGCGTGCCAACGGGACGATGCGGCGGCGCTCGGCGGCGGCCGCCGCGCCGGGCGCCGGGCCCGCGCGCAAGCGGCCGCGGCCGGGTCGACCGCCGGGCGGTGGCGGCGGCGGGAGGTAGCCTGCCGCCGCGCGGCCGCCCAGACGCTAGATGTGATAACGAGAGGGAGTGCCAGGTGTAGTGCGGGTCAGCCCCGCCGGAGCGAACCCTCTGTACGCGATCTCAGTGTGTTTTATCTCTGCATGTGTCGATGTGGCGCGGCGCCGCGGCCGCCCGCAGTCTGTTCGTCGTTGATTTGCTCAGGACCCCGGGTGTGGCCGGCCGGCCGGGGCCCGTCTTTCAGGGCGCGCCGGAGGGCCCACTCTCTCACCGGTTTGGTGTGTGCATGTGCCGTGTAGCTGCAGTCCCCCGTCCCGCCCCTACCCCGCCCCCGTACAGATGTGCCCGCCGCTCGCTAGTTTGAGCTTTGGGGCGCGCCGGCGCCGGCCGCGCGGCGCCATCGTTACCATTGGAGGAGCGGCTGCCCGGCCGCCCTCCGGAGATTCGACACCGAGGTCTGTTCAGTTCTCACCGGTTGACATCGTTTTGTAATGTTTTCATCCTTCATTTATGGAGAGATTACCTACGTGTGGCATCGTGTATTATAATTCATGTATCTGTTCGTGTGATACATTTCTATGTGATTTTGTGCTTTGAATGTCGGCACATAACTTTGGTAATAAACCTACGCTCCGCAGTAGTATGTATTGTGTTATTTTGATGGCAAGGACGGCGGCGAGAGATGGAGGTTATTTCTAGCGTAGAATTCTGGTAATAAGGGGCAATTCGGGACAAGACAATCGGGAGGGACCGACGAGATTCCACACACTGTCAGGATGGCTTCATATGCCACCCGATGATAGGCGGTGGCCGAGCGCAGGGAATCGTTGCATCAAGTGTGGCAGCTTATCCGCCGAGTTCACGGAGCGGCCCGGGTTCGATGCCCGTCCTAGTCTACAAAAAACGGCTACGGTAGTTCCAAAACCAGGGCTGCGGAGTCGGTCGGAGTCGACGGTTCTGACCGATTCTGAGTCTATTTTGAAAACCGGAGTCTAGAGTCACCGAAAAGTCATCCACTCCGTAGCCCAGCTCAAAACACCGCACCTGTAATACTGTAGCCATCAAACAAAATGCATCACTTATAGTTGACCTACCCAAGTATTCTATATATGCACCGTGCCTACCCAGAACCCACGGATATCTGAGCGTAGGAAGAGAGACTATGGTCACTTGTTTAGGGAGTAGGTCGCTGCGCTCATCAAAGTACACCTAAGCGATTCACAAACGCTCAAACGCCATTCAAAATACCTGTACTTTATTAGTGCTTCATGTAAACTTTGATCATGCACTTTGTACAATGCTGGGATGTAGCGAGCCTAGCCTAGAATCTGTACAGTTTGCTCGGCGCACGCTCTGTGCTCCTCACTGGCCCGCGGCTATCTCCTTATATGGCAGCGGCTTGGCTGGCCTCAGATCAGGCTGGGATTGTCTTTTTCCGAGCAAACAAACGGCGAACGGCAGACGCCCGGAACATCCTCACACTGTAACAGCCGCCGGCGTCTCACGCCGGCACCAAAACGGCCGAGCAACAGCAGTCGGCGGCGCACGCAACAACAGAAGCACCAACACTGGCGCGCCGGCCGACTCGGGGGGCGCCGCACTCGGCGCGGCAGCGCCACACTCGTCTCACTCGCGCCGCACACTCGTCACTCTCTCGGCACTCGCTCTGCGGGGGCACACACGCTACAAGTTGGCCTGCCTGCTCCAATAGGCATGGGCCTCGTCTGGCGGCGGGCCGTGGCCCATAGAGTGTCCGCCGTGACCACCGTGTCCGCCATGTCCACCGTGCCCCAAATGTCCGCCGTGTCCGGCGTGCGGCGCCATGCCGCCGTGGCCCAGGTGCGCGCTGTGGCCGGCGTAGCGGCCGTAGCCGGGTACGTCGCCGTTGGTGAGGTGCTGCCGGTGGCCGGGCGCCGCCGCGCCGCTCGAGTACGGCTGCGGAGAGGCGGGGAAGAAGGCCGGCCCGCCGTACGGCTGAGAGAGTGACGAGGACGAGCGGCCCGGCGGGCCCAGCGAGGTGGGCGTGGAGGGCGCCTGAGAGGCCGCCTGGTCCAGGATCGCCTGCGAACGGACACAGAGCAATGTGAGAAAGCTGTCACAATGGACACAGACAACGCGCCGTCATCCGAGTTCGGGTAATTAAAAACGGACGGCGGATGAGCAACGGAGGAAAATGTGTTCAAGTTGACGCCCAAGTTTACACCTGACGGGCAACGTGACTCGCAAAGGCATCCGCCATTGTGTACACAAACAATAGGTAAACTACAAACAGGTGTGAGGAATCGAGAATGTACATATATGTATATATGCATATATGTACACTCTCCAGCTGACCTCTGTCCAATCAGCGTCCATATCCTCCTTCCTATGAGATCCCGGTACCGCGATTCCGACCATCCGTTCCCTATCTCCAGCCCTGACCTGGGGTATGGAGCCGCCGCGCCGCACCAGCAGGCGCACCACCGAGCCGCCCTGCTTGATCAGCTCGATGGCCTCGCCGTGCGTCATGTCCTTGGTGTTCACGTGGTTTATCTGGATGATCTGGTCACCCACCTGAGGGGCGACAGAGTAGGTCGGAGGTCAGTAATGGGGTGGGGTCTGGTCAGGTCAGGTGGGAGAGGGGTGACAGAGCAGGGTTTGATTCAGCACGGATGGAGTACCACAAGTCCATTGTTCCGTTCCTAATCACCCTGATCTGACGTAAAATATGATTGAAGCAGCAATTGAAATAAATAGACATTACTATTTACTGATGAAAGGACAGAGACATGAACAAATGAAGGGTAGAAGCAGAGATGGGAGGATGGAAATCTGAAACAAAGTAGGGGCACGTTCAGGTTCAAGAGCAGTGAAGCAGGACTCCCCGGCATGTCCCGGTCATTCAACAGCAGCAGCACCCGTCCAAGTACTTACCCTGAGCCGTCCGTCCTGTGCGGCCGGTCCGGTCTCGGCTATCCGCAGCACGAACAGCGGCATGTTGTGGAACTCTCGGCCGCCGCGGATCGAGAACCCGAAGCCCCGGTAGCCGCGGCTCAGCTCGATGCCGTGAAACTCGTCCTCGCCACCGCCGCCGCCCTCGATCGGGTGGTACTCCTCGCCCTGACGGGACAGAGTGGAGGTTAGTTACGGGACTGGAGAGGGGCAAACATTAAACGTGATGATCTGACGTTAATTAACGTGACATGCACCTCCAGCAACCGCCTACATCGGCCAACAACTACAGTTCTAGATAATTTCAGTTTATGTTAAATGAGTTGCATCGCAGATGTCTTACATGAATTTGATTCATAACTTCACAAGATACGACGCCTCGTTAGAAAAGTCTGATACTCTTGCGCTCACTAACTACAACTTTCTACTGACCTCCGGTGGCCAGGGGTAGTTGACTCTCCTGTCTCCATTTCCAGTGTGGTCTTGGTCTCTCGGATCCCGTCTGGAAGAAAGGCCACGGTTAAAAGTTTAGCTCGGTATCATCAAGCACAACATAAACAAGGATCACTCAATTAAGAATTTACAGCGATGCTGGCACATGCGACATCACCTGTGTTGAAAGTAACCCATACAATGTCTATCGCCAAGACAAACCCTGGGAAGGACCCAATGCATGCACCAGCGCAGACTAGCACGAACCTGAGCGGATACTGTAGACTCTCGTCCATGTCGAAGGTAACATCTCGTGACGACAGGTCCCTCTCGGGCGTCACGTCACGGCCCAGTGAGTTGGTCAGGTGGCCGGCTGTCGGCGGCATGTCGCCCTGGGGGAAACACAGAAGGCTCGAGTTAGTCACATGGCGGAGATGGTTACGAGCAACAAAACGGCCACCACCCAGAGAAGTCTGGACATTCCGCAGTCGCAACACACCCTCTGAAATCCTAGTCTTTCGCTCCCCATTATATCCGCAAACTTTTGGAGCCTGGGTTTTCCCCGTACCCACAAATCTTTGTAACTCGTTCCTCGGAACCCTTCCCTCCCTTAACTGCTGAGTGCTGAGGCTTATCAGTCCCCACTCCCCACGGACCTTCCTGCCCCCCGTCCAATTTCTCACCTTCTGCGAAGTGGACGCTGTGCTGGACGAGTCGTCGAGCGGCGCGCCGACCGTCAGCACCACCCGGTACCCGCTGTCCTTGATCAGGTTCACTATCTCGCCGTGGTGCAGGCCGGCAATGTCCACTCCGTTCACGGCCAGGATCCGGTCCCCGACGTGCAGCTGACGGCAGCGCTGCGCCGGACTGCCGTCGATCAGCCGACCGATCGTCGAGCCGCTCCGACTCACCGACGAGATGATGACGAAGCCGAACCCCTCGCCCTCGCGGCGTGTCACCGTCACCTCGTACGGCGGCTGCTCCTGGCTGCGGTTGAGCGCGTCGTGCCGCGCCAGTCGCCGTCGGATGCCGAGCTGCACGCGGCCGGCCGCCGAGGCCTGGCTCATCAGCTGCACGGCCAGGTGGTGCGAGGACCCCACCACCAGCTGGTTGTCCACGTAGATGATCTCGTCTCCGGTCTGCAGCCGGCCGTCCACGTCCGCCGCGCCGCCCGGAACAATGTGCCCGATCGACACCTGGCGGGGAAAGAGGGTGAGGTAAGCAAGAGGGCAGAGAAGAAAGAGAGGAAAATGACGATAGGAATTGCGGCATCAATGCTGAACCTCATGGTTCATGATTGATGCCATGCTTGCACTGAAACGGTTTCCGGTAAGAGAAGCCATGATAATTGCTATTGTTTGCAAAAAGCTAAAAGCAACATGCTAATCTGCATTTTAGGACGAAACAATTCGATGGTCATCTGGCTCGATAATTAATCTCCATCATTGACATGTGTGATGATAGGATAAAAGACCTTCCACGCTCATGTATGAGCCACTGCTTGTAGGTTCTGTGAGTGATAGCCCTCCCACCATTTCGCCATTTTTCTCACCTGGGAGCCCTCCTCGGTGCCGCCGACGATGCGGAACCCGAAGCCGGACTGGTGCCTCATCAGCGTGACGGCCATCTCCAGGTACTGCTGCGGCCCGGCCGGCCGCGGGCCGCGCGGTACCGACGATGGCGCCGGCTGCTCGTGCTCGAAAGACGTGCTCTGTTTGCGGCTGCGCGCGCCGCGGTCCGAGCCGGCCTGGTCGGAGCCGGGTCCGCCGGGCACGGCGCCGTGGCCGCCGTACTGGCCGTACCCGCCGTACTGGTCTCCGGGAGGGTAGTGGTCGAAGGAGCCGGCGTCCGCTGGCCGCGGCGCCGGCTGCTGGCTGTAGTAGCCCTCGGGGGCGAACGGCGCGCCGCCGTACTGCCGGGCCGGCTCGGGCGGGTAGCCGCGGGACTCCAGGTCCCGCTCGTCGTAACTCGAGTGGAGCCCGAGCCGGCCGAACTGGGCGCTGAGGTCGGCGCGGCCCGGCCCCGGCCCCGGCGGACCGGGACCGTTCGGCCGGCCGTAGCCGAAGCCGGAGTGGTCTGCGCCGTAGTCGCCGTAGCGCGGGTCGGTCGGCGCCGGTCCGCCGCCCGGTCCGCCGGCGCCGCGCGAGTCGAATGTGAGCCGCGGGTCGGCGGAGGGCGCCGGGCCCGGCAGCTCGCCGTACGAGGGTGTGTGCGCACGCCGCGTGTCCACCAGCGGCGTCTTGGGCCGGCTGGGGATCACCTCCCTGGGCCGCGTGCTGTACAGCTCAGCCGTGGGCGTCTTGCTGCGGTACTGGCCCGAGATGGGCGGCCGGCGCGCAGCGTCCTCCTTACGCTTGGTCTTGGGTTTGGTGGGAGAGTGAGAGCCGCCGCGCTGCACCGTCACCGTCGCCTCGTGGTCAACTGGACAGTCCTTCAACACCTGGATAGAGGAAACACAGACCGGTGTCGGGTTAACGGCTGCATATGCATTATGCATAGCCAATTAGCTAACTATGCGCGCTCTAACGCTGTCCAGTTCCAGCAGCCCTAGACCCAAAGACTAATTTGACAATGTTAGGTTACGCCCAAAATAAAACATATTTTAGTCATGAACTTTGTAGATGTAAAAGGCACCAATTTAAGAGCGGTGATCCCACTCTCCCCTTGAGGTTCTCATCCTATCCATACCTGTACCACGTCCGTGTGCGGCATGGCCTTGACGTGGACGTTGTTGATCTCGACGAGGATGTCTCCCTCCTGGAGCTCGGTGCAGCGGCCGCGGTCCAGGATCTTCTTCACCTTCTGACCGTAGGCAGAGTCGGCGATCGTGAAACCGAAACCGGTCTCTCCCTTCACGATTGGCACCGTCAGGAAGCGCGGCTTGGGCGCCGTCGGTGGCACATTCTCTGCGGGGAGAAAAGGGAGTTGGGGTTAAAAACTCTGGGAGGGGAATCGGGCTTCTTGATCAGGCACCAGGTACAATAGTCGCGCTAGCAAATCGGTCGGAAGACCTCCAAGGTTATCGAATAAGATTCTGATTACCTCACAAAGGACATGAAAAGTAAAATTAATCAGGAGTAAATCAGTTACTTCAGTCTTAATTAGAAACAAGCCAACCATCGTCACGTATCGCAGTGAGTTCCATCAGTGGTTGGTGGGACCTGGGGGCCGGGAATGAGGTCGCGGTGGGGCCGGGGTCGGGCGGTAGGGCAGTGGTCCGTGATATCACCCAGTACGGTATCGATCACGGCGTCCGTTTCAAACTGCGTCAGGTGATACGGAGGCGGTGTGGCGCCGCCAGTGTACGGTGACGGCGCCACAGCACAGGGGGTACAGACCGCCGGCTCCGGTGACCGGTTGGGGCTGTCACAGAGGCGGTACCGGGATGGCTGGCCGCAGCAGGACAGGACCGGGTCGAGACCCGCCCTGTATGTGTACACTGAACGTGTAACACAGTGAACACAAGGTGGCTGGTAAGGATCATCTAGAGCAACTGGCCAGACGGGAACAGGGAGCTGGGAATATCAGTATTGAGACGGTTTACTTTCGTCATCCCCCTCCAAACAGTGCGGTAGTCGGTGCACCCTAACTCCAAGCCAACAAACAATCATATAGCAATCAAACGCTTTCCATCTCCTTCTATATCTCTCATTCTCTCTGTCCCTCTCTCTCTCTCTCTCTCTCTCTCTCTCTCTCTCTCTCTCTCTCTCTCTCTCTCTCTCTCTCTCTCTCTCTCTCTCTCCCCTCTCACCGGCGGCGAGCAGGTCGGCAGAGCCGGGTCGGGGCCGCTCGTCCCGGGTTCTCTCTGTACCGCTCAGGTCCGGCATTGACTTGGAGGTGCTCTCCTGATCGGAGCCGGTGGGGGAGCGGGGTCGGTCGGCGCCGCCCACCGGATACCCGCCCTGCGGCTGGGTGTCTGTCGGCAGACGCGCGAGGGGTTAGATATGGGGAGAGAGAGAGAGAGAGAGAGAGAGAGAGAGAGAGAGAGAGAGAGAGAGAGAGAGAGAGAGAGAGAGAGAGAGAGAGAGAGAGAGAATCAAAGGCAGAGTGGCATGTGTAGTTGTGGATAGTTGGCCAAAGAAGGGGCACTAATGAAAACATGGCGAACTATCGCAATATGAAGTCATCCAGAAGTGCAGTTATAGTGAAGCAAAAACCTAGCTACCTACATGATATAAAACTCATATTATGCTATCAAACATCCAGCGGTAACTCACTTGTGTCCGAGATACAATACCATCGTAGCGATACCTCAACAACGCTATCACATATCCCAGCGCAAAAACTGCAGGGCAAGCACGGATCGCCAACTACGAACACAGAGAACATAGCTTGCACAAATCCGTTACAAAGACCAAAATAACCCCACCCACTGAGCACAGACACAGCCGAGGGTATATCACTCCCAGCAGCTGTCCTAAAGTGACGGCGACTCACCAACTTACGTCAGGTTTCACCAGGTAGTTCGTGCCGTATCAATTCTACTGAATACGGACCTTCGGGCACGCACAAGGTGTTGACGCGTGCCTACCTAGCAGTGACGAAATCGACGGGAGATCTGAGAGCTGACATTCATATTTGGTACACCACAAGAGACTGGCGGCGGAGTTAATACACACGCACAGAGTGTAACAGTGTACCGAGACGGCACTGCCGAGAACAGCACCTGAGCGCGCACTGACTCCTCTCCTGTGACAGACCTTCCTGGCTGGTCCGACATTAACTGACGCCATAGTGTCACCTGATGTGTCACCGACGTCACTGGAGCTAGGCAGCTCAGTGTTCCAGACACTGGTACCGAACACCCCGCGGTTGATGTCGTCACCAGCTATAGGACCGGCAGGGCGCCACCGGCAGCCGACCCGACGCGCCGGGAGGCGGCCACAAATAGACCCATCGGGAGGTGGGGGACGGAGACGCGCTGGGCGGGAGACGAGGCGACGCGAGACGGCAGGAGAGACATACCGCGGGCACGTGTCACGCGGCTGGAGATGCTGATAATAATGGACTACCAACGAAGTAGCGGCAATAAGAGGAATAATGAGAAATGTACGGTCTAAATAGACGGGAAACTTCCAGAAATGCTCATAATGCCGAGCCATTCTTCTGGCAGGTGCAATATCACTATGTAACAAGACAAGCTACAAAAGAATGTCTGTCAGCAAGAAACACGAATTTCGAAAGTGTCGAACAACAAATGCTCATAATTTGATAACTTACACATGACGATGCGGCAGATCTTCCGTTTTTCATCATATTTGACTCGAGTTCGAACCCCAGAGGCGGCGCGTATTTTCAGCACTGGCGGCCCGGAGTCCCCTCCGAGCACATACTTCTCGTCCGCGCCGCACCGGCCACGGGCCAACAGACCCAGTTTTTGAAACATCACTATCCGCCGTGGCCCTTCGTGGATCGAATCAACACTCGTTTCGGTCGGAACCGTTGAACCTCAATGAATCCTGTAGCGATCTGAGAGTCGGTAGTACCAAAGATACCGGTTCAACACGACCGTTAGATGTTGTTGGCCTTAGTCAGAACTGACCAGCAGCAGTCAGTCAGCAACAGAGACACTTCTACCATGACACGTCCGACCGTTCTTCACTCTTAACCACGTCTCGGCTCAATTGTCACACCTCACTTTGTATCAACACAGCTCACGACTGTACGGTGTCTTTAACTTCTGTCTCGTTACGGTCATATCCAAACACCAGTCACCAAAATCAACAACGCCGTCACCAGCAGTCAGCACCATGTGCCAATCACCACGCGAGCCCAGAGCACCCACGAGAGTGCGCCGGGCGGACGGTCCGGCGGGGCGGCGGTCCGGCGGCGTGCCTCTGCCCCAGTCGCCGGCGCCCGGCCGCGGTTCGCCCACAGATCCGATTACCAGAATGTGGGCCGGCTCGGCGGAAACCCGACAAGCCGAGCCGCCGCCGACAGTACAAAACACGCGCTCCAGCGGACCCGGCCGACGGTTAACAGCAGACCCCGCCGGCTGGCTGCAGCGCAGAGCCACCATCGGCCAGCGGAACACAGAAATCCCTCAGCTCAGCTGCATAGAAACCAAATATATCTTAGTGTGGAATCTAAAAACCACGAATCACCAGCATGACTACTGATTAGCGGCCGGGAGACGGTAATGAATGTAACCTGTGACCTGTCACTTGACCTGTGATCCCGAACGATCTGCTGCCGTCAAACAGAGCCTGATGGTGACTTGTAGCCTGTGGCCTGATCTGCTGCCGACAGACCCTGATGGTGACCTGTGACCTAGCCTGTGACCCCGACTGACCTGCTGCCGACACGGCCATTGTGGTGACCTGACCTGTTACCGACACTAACCTGACCTGTGACCCAGACTGACTTGCCGACACGACTGACTTGCCGACACGACCATAACCTTTGACCTGCCCTATAACCCGGACTGACCTGCCGCCGACACGGCCATGGTGGTGACGATCTCCGTGTTGGGGTCGTTGGGGTCGAATGGCAGCGGGTAACCGCGGCACACCTGTAGCTGCACCAGCTCGCCGGCGGCGATCGTTTGGAACATGTGCACCATGTCCTGGTGCGTGTAGCCCAGCACACACTGGCCGTTCACGTACACCAACACGTCACCTGGAACAACGGGACATGTCAGACGCCACGGCACACACTGGCGGTTCACGTACACCATCACGTCACCTGGAACAACGGCAGCGGTTAAGGCTACGTCAGCTGATGTCACATTACACAGTAAGGGAGAGATGTCATATTGCGCCACCGGCCTATTGCGGCCTATTGCGGCTAAAGTTGACCAGCCGTCATGCTTAATGATATCTCAAATTGTACCTCAGTTATTTTGGCATCAAATAACAACTCCTAATTTGTATCACACCCAGAAAAATTAACGGGAGAAAAGCTTTCCGGCACATCTGCAAAGGGCGCATTTACGGACTCCCCCATCAAAAAGCGCCCATGCCTCTCATGTAAAAGCGCCCTATTAAAAACAACGGTTTGCCACCTAACTAAGTAGCCTATTTGAACGTGTCAGCCCATTAACCATTTATGCTGTGAAGGCTAAGGTAATGGTAAGGTGAGCGCTCTAATAATCAAAGTGTTCAATGAAATGTGTCCCAACCACCATATGCTGTTTCTCTGGGTTGAAGAATAGGGCGCAAATAGGGTGGGCGCAATTACGAATGGAACACATTTTTCATGAGCTTCAAATATGGCAACGACAGCGAAGCCACGGTGGTGATAAACTTTCAAAACTACCATTAAACAAGCAATTAAAGGAACTATCCCACCTTCTAAAATGTTGTTAAAACCAGTTAAATTGTGCCCGACTTTATAGATTGGATGACCAGGAACACGGTTCTGGCATTTATTTTTCATTAAACATCTTAGGCTTCCCAAATACCAAACACAAACTTTCAAATATGTGACGTCACAGCCCGAAATTACCTCCTTCCCCAGGCCACATTACTGTCATAGAGCTGATTCTTTTTACTCTGTAGGCACCACAACAAAGTTCAGACCAAGTCTTAAGCGATTTTTCAACGAACAAACCCATTTAAATCAGAATGACTAAACGAGGTGACGTCACACTAACGGTCGCTCCATGTTGAAGATAGGGCCTTGCGCAAGGCCCATTTTCAAATGAAGGGAACGAATTTCTTCAACACCAAGAGGCCGCGGGGGTTGCAACCTAGATAGATAGTGGTTTCTGAACCTCGCCGCAAACTTGGCTATCTCAACTCAAACCCCATGTTAAAGGTGGGATGGTCCCTTTAACAATGATTACGGAGCGAGCGAAGCGAGCGTAGTCTTTCCTTAGATTAACGGAAATTTCTGAGTGGCCGGCCGGCCGGCCGTGGTCACGCTTTTGCGAGGCTTATATCTCAGCAACCACTTGACCGATTTACACGCGGTAATTTTTGTAGGGTAGCTTCATTCCTTCTACCAAGTACTGGACTATTCCCGATGCATGTGGGTGACCCCTTATGCACGTGCCACGTGCAAAACGAAGAGGTGTCAGTTTTGTAATTGTTGCAATATCTCGGTAACTACTTGGCCGATTGCGCTGAAAGTTGGCATGTAGGTAGGCACCCACTAGGCACTGCATATACATGTGCCAGAGTTGGGGTGCTGCTGCACGTGCGCACGTGCAGGGGTCGTTTCCAGATCTCGGGAACGGCTGGACCGATTGCGCTCAAATTTGGTACACGGTTAGGGACCGGTTAGTAGGGTGCCGTGCACAAGTCAGTTGGGACCCATTTTGCACGTGCGCACGTGCAGGGTGCCGCTTCCAGATCTCGAGAACGGCTGGGTCGATTGTGCCCAAATTTGGCACATCGCTAGAGACCAGTTAGTAGGGTGCCGTGCACAAGTCAGTTGGAGGTACCCCCTCGCAATTTCGCACGTGCAAGGCCCATCCTCTCGCTCGCTCCGTTAGTCGCCCCAAAAGGCGTTATACTGGTTACTAGTTGAATCACTATCTCTAAGATGAACCATGACACTAGCAAAGGTCGAAATAGACTGTTTCGCGTAAGAAAATAGAGGAAAGCACAAAAAATGGTCTGCGAGAAAGCTGAGACACCTCACCTGCCCCCGTGGACCGGAAGAAGAGCGAGTTATTGGAGGTGAAGTAAATGCACACATTCGAGTATTCGTTCGAATCGAATTTTGGGCAGGAGGAAGGTGTGGCGCATTTAAGAACATGGCGCAATATGACCTCTCTCCCCTACACACTATTGGGGTAGTGTAAATGAAAAAAGCAAACAGGTTGTGTCCAAAAGCCAAAGTCAACTATCACTAACAAAGCCGTTCCCATCATCATCCCACAAAAAAAAACTTATCAGCTGACGAAGGCTAGGAATTCAAGCCAGCTCATCGCTCACGACTTCACAAGCTCGTCCGCATGAATCACAGAGACGCTCTCCACATTGCTTACATACAACGTTAATGGGCCGTTGCAATGATGGGATCTGGCATCAAAGCCACTCTAGCTGTACTCGACATTTTGTATAAACATAGTTGGTCGCTGCCAGATTATGAGACATGGCATTTCCAACACAAATTAAGCCAATGGCTGACACAGAAAGCAAGTCATGCTACTAATTACTGCATAGCGATTAGAAGTAAACAAAGGCAAAGAGACATACTCGTAAATATGAACAGCGGGACAGAAAAGTATCGACAGCTCTCCGCGCACTCGGTCCGTACCGGTTCTCAGCCGACCGTTGACCCAGGCCGGCCCGTTGGGCACCACGGACTTTATCTGCAGGAACTCCTCCTCGCCGTCGTCGCCGCCGACGATGGTGAAGCCGAGGCCGCGCGGCGACTTTTGGAGCGTCGTCTCCAAGATGGCGCCGCGCAGCTCGGCCGGGTTACGGGTGAAGAATGGACGACCGCCTGAGGGGGGAGAGGGTGAACGGTCACCGGTCACCGGTCAGATTATAGTCGACACTACGATCAAGATAGATGGTCCACCCCACAGATAACATGGCCTTTCTGTTCTGCAGGGGAAGCATGCTTACAGAAGTGCTACTGCATAGACCTATACATACAGGGTTGAGCGTTATGGCTAAAATGAAAACCAACGTCAGTCAATGCAACAGCCTGCGGCACTATTTGGATACCAGCGCCATCCTGTGGCGGTAATACAAACCAACAAATGGTGCGCCGGCCACCGAATTCCTCCGGCTCACGTTCGGGTAACACACCACACAGTCGTACTAGGAATCAAAACCGACACTGGTCTCTTCTCAACCTTGACCAGTCGGCCCTGTTCCTCAGGGGCTGTGACGCCTTCTGATGTTCCCCCACTCACTGTTGCCGTTGGCCCTGGCCGGGGGTAGCTGTTATCCCCTGTTCCCCTACTCACTGTTTCCGTTGGCCCTGGCCGGGGTGGCTGTTACCCTCTGTCCCCCCACTCACTGTTTCCGTTGGCCCTTGCCGGGGGCGGCTGTTACCCTCTGTTCCATACTCACTATTTCCGTTGGCTCTGGCCGAGGTACCTGCTACCCTCTGTTCCCCCTACTCACCGTTTCCGTTGGCCCTGGCCGGGGGCGGCTGTTGCCCTCTGTTCCCCCCACTCACTGTTTCCGTTGGCCCTGGCCGGCGGCGGCTGGGCGCCCGCCGGGGGCTCCAGGTCCCGGTGGCCGTCCGAGGTCGGTCCCTGGGACAGCGGTACCGACTGGGGCGGTTCACTCGGGGGTGGCGGTGGCTCCGAGTGCTGGTCACCTGTGGTGGCCGGTCCGGGGAAGGGTGAGGCGCGAGACACAGGGAGAGACAAGACAACTAGGGGGGGGGGGAAGCGTGACTAAGCATTCATAAGTACCAAACAAACAAACAAAACAGTGCAATAACGACGGGGCGGTGATCTATCAGGCGCAGGGAGTCGCAACCGGTATTAGGCCAGGGTACTATATGTAAATACTTGGTTCAAAGGCTGTATCATAGCAACGGTGGATCCAGAGTTTTGAAGCTTAGAGCCAGAATCAATCGTTTCTTTTCATGCACTTTATATGCGCCAGGTTACGATCGGGTTTTAATGGTGACATTTCGCCCTAAGCCCTGGATCCGCCGGAGCCTAATGAATGTGCTGCTCTCCTCGTTAAATAATCTACCACTGCATACAAACAAGGGCAGAGGCCCGCTTTACGATGGCGCCGCAGAGAACCCAACGCCAACATCAACGTTCCCAAAATACCCGCTAGGAGGCCCCAAAATGCCTCAGGAACGTACCAATCGACCCAACGATCTTCTAGAAAGCAGAGAAACCACCGCCGGGACGACCAAACTGACACACTCCCCACTCCAAACTACACCACGGCACGCCAACAAAAGCAACAGACACACCACCAGCGAACACCGCAGTGACGTCACTGGTCGACTCTTCACCCCCGCCGAACTCACCCTGCTCCTGGAGCCGCTTGGCCTCGTGCACGGGGTTCTCGTACTGAGTGCGTCGGTTGACGTGGTCGATGTAGTAGGTGCCGTAGGTGGCGTCGTCGATTCGCTCCCAACCGTACGGCAGTTCGTTGACGTCGCAGTCCTCGAGGGACTTCTTCTGGACGAGCGCCAGCCGCGGGTCCAGCCAGTGGGAGGTGCCCGTGCTGTGACTGTGGAGAGATGAGAGGGAAGTTAGAGGTCCGCTAGCCGCGGGTCCAGCCAGTGGGAGGTGTCTTTGCTGTGACTGGGGGGAAGGGGGGGGGGATTAGAGATGGTTGGCTGAGTGGACATCGTGGTATGTAGGGTAAGGGCGGGTAAGAGTACGCGGGCGATAAGAGTACGCATCATCTGTTTCGGTTGCTTAGCAACGCGGGTTTGTCGAGTTCATGAAGTGACATGAAGCCGCCAGTGCGTGCATGTCACCAACGGAACGTGGGCGTTGAGCGGCGACGCTGTTGAGTTTAAGGCGATGAATATTATTTTCGAGCGTTATGATATTATTATGATATGGTACAATAATTTTGATACTTGGCAGTTGAGATGAGGTACATTTCCGTGATTGTTGTGGGAAACTTGTGAGGTTATCTGGGGAAATACTGTACAGTGCAATATTCTGTTTGCGAAGTTTTGCACAACGTTTCGGGGTTGTTTTGTGCGCGAATTGCATGTACGGTAAGAGGACGCACTGTTCAGGAGGGTAAGAGTACGCAGAATTATACATTACATCGAATATGCAAAAATATATAATTATTAATCTATCGCTCAATGACGTTTGTTTTGTAGGTATATCATCAATGGAGCACTGTGATGCAGATGCGTACCCGAAATTCTTCCAAATACGAGTTATTCTCCTTTTTGATTGTGCATTTTTTTAAAGAAAGACACGACATGATTATTTCCTGATTTATAGACTTGAAAGATTTATTTTATGTTTTTCTTTTTGGATACTAGAATTAACTTAAATGCCTTCTGAGTTTGACGTTAAGCATTTGGACAGTGCAAGCTGCATAGGTGTGTGTTCATATGCTTGCGTACTCCACCCGCCTGGCGTGCGTACTCTTACACACCCCATATGGTAAGAGTACGCAAGTGCAACGGTTCAGAAAATGTCAGTTTTAGACCACTTCCATTTACGCTGAAGGATCGTTGCCCCATGGGTTGATGGCTAATTCAATGAACTTTAATATTCCCTATTTGCGATTTCTTTCCTTCAAATATTAAACAAATGAGAGCAAGAAATCCACTAAGTGCGTACTCTTATACGACTTCACCCTACACGCTAAATGCTTCCATCCTCGCGTATCTAACCCATTCTTTAAGATGTTTGTTTGCATCAAACAGCAACATTATACCAGGGAGTACATCAATCATTCCGAAGAGTATTTGGGCACTGGAACGTGAATAAGCTTTTCCAGTGAGTATTTCAATCTGCCCTCATCAGTCAACATTCAAAGAACATCCAAGGTGGAGATACGCACCTTAGCTTATCAGGATAGCACGAAGGCAGACAACATAGTCTCGCACAAGGTACAGGAATAGCCGGGGGAACAGTCTGCATAACAGAAACCACTATAGCCCCCGCTACACCACACAACGGACAGTGCACGGGCCTCTTCCGCCTGGCTCCCGACAGACAGAGCGCAGTCTAACGGGTCTCAGAAACAACTCATCAGCATGAGACACACGGCCCGGAAAACCGTCAGGAGGAAAGCCCGCCGGATTTAGCGGGGCTCGGCTCCAGGTGCCCGTCAGGCCAGTCAGGGGGCGAGTAGCGAGTAAGGCACGCGCTTTGATTCATAGCCAGTAATGCCTGGTGGAGTGGGGGTGGTATCAGACACACCTGAGCACTGACTCAATCGACCGCTAGTGCTCTGAATCACATAACGTAAGCTAGAGGCATGTACATATTTGGTAATGACGTATTGCCATACAAATTACGGCATTTTGTGTAATAATGAAAAAGGAATGTAACCACCACATGTCAACGCCCTGCCCCATGTCGCACCAGGCGAATACCGGGGTAAATAAGTAATATACATTAAGCATTCACTAACGACTGTACAGAAACCGACTATAGCCTGGCAGGCATTGCTAACATCAGGCCATAAATGTTTTCTCAAAGGTGAAACCTAACGACGCATTACCCTTGGTTAAATATGACCTCTTCTGAATAGCAGCACCGAATAAAAAAGTCATGGCAACGCAATCGACATATATATCTTACTCAGCGATCATCAGATGTCTTTCATAGCTTATTTACACTGTCCCACGCTGCCCCACCATCATGATCTGACAGCTCTCAGCCATCAGCCGGACTCACTCGATGAAGTAGGGCTCGCCGCACTCGGTGAAGGCCTGCTCCCAGTTCTCGGGCAGCGGACCGAGGTCGGTCGGGGCGCCGGCGCCGTTCCACGTCGGCTGGTGAGACGACTCCGACGGGCCGCCGCCGTTCATACTGGGCCCGTCCGGCCTCTGGGGCGCCGCCGGGTACTCCGGTGCTGGTGAAGGGGGAGAGGTCAGTACAGCTCTGTTCACTCCGGGCCCGTCCGGCCGCTGGGGCGCCGCCGGGTACTCCGGTGCTGGGGGACGGGGAGGAGAGGTCAGTACAGCTCTGTTCACTCCGGGCCCGTCCGGCCGCTGGGGCGCCGCCGGGTACTCCGGGGCTGGGGGAGAGGGGTAGAGGTAAGTACAGCTCCGTTCATACTGGGTCCGTCCGGCCGCTGGGGCGCCGCGGGGTACTCCGGGGCTGGGGGAGGGAGAGAGGTCAGTACAGCTCTGTTCATACTGGGGCCGTCCGGCCTCTGGGGCGCCGCCGGGTACTCCGGGGCTGGGGGAGGGGGAGGGGGTCAGTATAGCTCCGTTCATACTGGGGCCGTCCGGCCTCTGGGGCGCCGCCGGGTACTCCGGGGCTGGGGGAGGGGGAGAGGAGGTCAGTACAGCTCCGTTCATACTGGGCCCGTCCGGCCTCTGGGGCGCCGCCGGGTACTCCGGGGCTGGCGAGGGGGAGAGGTCAGTATAGCTCCGTTCATACTGGGCCCGTCCGGCCGCTGGGGCGCCGCCGGGTACTCCGGGGCTGGGGGAGGGGGGAGGGGGTCAGTACAGTTCTGTTCATACTGGGGCCGTCCGGCCGCTGGGGCGCCGCCGGTTACTCCGGGGCTAGGGGAGAGGGGTAGAGGTCAGTACAGCTCTGTTCATACTGGGCCCGTCCGGCCGCTGGGGCGCCGCCGGGTACTCCGGGGCTGGGGGAGGGGGAGGGGGTCAGTATAGCTCCGTTCATACTGGGCCCGTCCGGCCGCTGGGGCGCCGCCGGGTACTCCGGGGCTGGGGGAGGGAGAGAGGTCAGTACAGCTCTGTTCATACTGGGGCCGTCCGGCCGCTGGGGCGCCGCCGGGTACTCCGGGGCTGGGGGAGGGAGAGAGGTCAGTACAGCTCTGTTCATACTGGGGCCGTCCGGCCTCTGGGGCGCCGCCGGTTACTCCGGGGCTGGGGGAGGGGTAGAGGTCAGTACAGCTCTGTTCATACTGGGCCCGTCCGGCCGCTGGGGCGCCGCCGGGTACTCCGGGGCTGGGGGAGGGAGAGAGGTCAGTACAGCTCTGTTCATACTGGGGCCGTCCGGCCTCTGGGGCGGCGCCGGGTACTCCGGGGCTGGGGGAGGGAGAGAGGTCAGTACAGCTCTGTTCATACTGGGCCCGTCCGGCCTCTGGGGCGCCGCCGGTTACTCCGGGGCTGGGGGAGGGAGAGAGGTCAGTACAGCTCTGTTCATACTGGGCCCGTCCGGCCGCTGGGGCGCCGCCGGGTACTCCGGGGCTGAAGGAGAGGGAGAGGGGGTCAGTACAGCTCTGATGGGACCGGTATTTCGGAGCTGAGGGAAGTACCCGATAGGTCGGCACAAGTCGGGGGAGGGGTGTGTCAACGAAAGCAAAGCACTGGTTGTGGTTCGATGTCAACTCAGCCCAGCGTCAGTCTCCCACAGGTTCATTAGATCACGCATACATCGGCTAAGTCATGTCGCATCCGTTCGCGTGTAGGGGAGACAGCGAAAGCTCACATTTGCCTCCTATTTGGGGAACAATATCTGCGCTACCGATGACAAACAAGAAGCGCTGATTCATCCTAGACACGGGACAGGAAGCACTGGACTCGACAGCTCGCCCGTTTGGGTCAGAAATCATGGGACGTCGGGCGCACCAATGTAAAAGGCAGCTATTTGAGCATGTTTGATTAGCTTGAGCTACAAAACATGTTTGGCAGGACAAAGTCGGAGGATACGTCCCCATTTCCCAAACAGATACTGTTGCACGGACTGTCTGCAGAACATAAGCAGCAGTCACGAAAATCCCTCAGTTAGTGCTGAAACAATGAACAGTGACAGTATCGATAAGTGAGGGACGTTAATTTGGCTACAAACATTCGTCAGCGATCACGACAGGAAAGTGCATTGGCTTGGAAACGAAACAGAGCGGGCACAGCATGGAGCAGTGACAGCATTGGACATAAACAGAGAAGACATCACTCGAGATGGCCCAAACAGGGACACGCCATAAAAAGCTACCCTCGACGGTTTCGGCACCGGAAAATGTGTCATCACTTCGCAACACGACCAAACATGTGACGGTGTTCGCAGCACGCAACTCATTCTCCGTACAAAAACTATGTTTAAATTTCCATTTCAAAACAAAGAACGACAGCGCAAAACATCCGCATTTCGCGCAGATGAGCGTCCCGGCCGGCCCGGTAAATATTTACCCGTCAGCGCGTCTTTGGTAATAGCCGAACCAGATGCTCTCGATAAACATTGCAGCGGCGACGGTAAGGTCCGGCGAGAGTCACCCAATGGCCGCCGGCAGTTTCGGCCGTTCAAAATACCCCAGAGCAGGGAAAAGGGGCCCGCTGGTGTCGACGGAGCTCGGACGGCCGCCAGCGCCGGAATAGATCGGACAACACGTGTCGGCGCGAATCGCTCCAGAAATGCAGCTATTCATAGAGTGGAAGGGACACCTTCGCCGCTGGAGCAACGCAATAGAGAGGAACTCAGTCAGCCGACCGGGAAACGGGAATGGCACTATCCTCTCATCCACAGTCAGTTCGCACAAATGCACTTCACGATAGGTACTCAGTCACCATTCGTCCAGGAGGTTCCTCTCGAGTTACCATGATAGTGATTCAACGCACAGCGCTCTCCTCCGCATCAGTCACAAATACACGTCCGTCCAGAATTTGAGCCACTAATGTCACAGCCAGGACACGACAGTCACAACCGGGATAAAGCCATCAACGACCCTCAGATTACAGCACAGTGTACCCACAAAACACAATTAGCCTTATCCCTTATTCCGTCCCCACCATTCTCCCCCTCCCGTCCTCTTACCCTGCTGGTGGTGCTGGTGCGGCGGGCCGTCCGAGCCGCGCGGCTCCGGGTCGGCGCTCTTGGCAGCCATGGCCTCGACGTTGGATCGGTTTCTGCGCCGCTTCCCCTCGCTGTTGGGGTGCCGGCCAGGGAGGATGATGTCGCCGCTCAGCGGCTGGCGACCGGCGCTCGGCTCGGCCGGCGGCTTCGGGGTGCCATAGTGGTTACCTGGGGAAATCGGGGTGGGTGTCAGATGCTGGAGCCATAAACGCTAACTGGGGAACAGGGAGAGGGCTAGTATGTGTGGGGAGACATAGTAGTTACATGGGAAAGTGACTGACGTCCTATAAGAAAACAGGAAGCCAATGGGAACATATACGAGTCTTGTTATCGGTTCGTGGGGTTGGGGAACTTTAACCAGAATATAATCAGACGTGACAACTGAAAAGATGCGATTTTTGGTGACACTTTGAAATACTTGTCATTGCAGGCAACCCACTAGGTTCGCAAGTCACACAAGTCACATTAACTACATAGTGCGGTGGTCGGGAACGGCAACACTCAAACGAAAGGGGGCCGGTGACGCTGAACGGCGGTCTGACAAACAGAGCGAGACATTAGGCAAGGTTGAGGCTGCGATCGGAGCGAGAAGCAAAAGGAGAGAACTAGAAGAGTGAGGGGCACTGGCAAGGAATGAATCGAAATGCAGTCCGGCCGAGGTAAATAAGCACAGCCCTATTCGGTTGGGTCACAGCTCCACCTGAGCTGCATGTATGCCGCTGGGGTGCAACACACGGACCGTAGATGCTCCTAATTCCATTAGAGTTCATATCAGCGTCGCACCAGTACGGACCATAACGCTAGCGAATGGGACGCATCAATCACGGACTACGTGTCATCTATCACCGGCGTGGTCCGTTGACCACAGAAACCGCAAACATCCTAAACAACGAATATTGACATTAAAACGAGATCATTGTCATATGAGCCTTGAACATGCGACAATATCTCAACCAGAGCTTTTTACAGATTACGATGGATAAGCGTCTTGGCAAATTTCTAAGTCGGATTTACTGATGTGTCATACGGTACAGATTCAACAGATATTCGCCCTCATTCAGTCGATTCATCAAAACGAATAGCAACTTGAAGGCACCCGCTACTCGCATCTAGCGCTACTACAGGGTAGCGATTGCTGCAAATTCTGGCGAGCTGCTACGGCTGTATCTGCAACTACCTCTGCGGCTGCGGCGACTGGCACGGTGCTGTAAATGCTGCTACTGCTGCTGCTACTACTTCTGTCTGCTGCAGTGGAGTTCCTTCTGCCCGCGCTGCTGTGTCTCTGAACCTTCCCTCTCCAGTGGCGGTGTTTCTGGCGATAGTACTGCTGGCTCAGCTACAGAAGCTGCCACAAGCCGACCTCACCTTTCTTCACTCGCAGCGTGCCACTGAGCAGGGTGGACCGCAGGAATCCCACCTCCTCTCCCCCCGGCTCAGACGGCGCAGAGTCCAGAGAGGAGGGCACTGAGCCCCGCCTCGCACACCAGCAGCGGCCGGCCGGCGGGCGGCGCGACCCCTCAGAGCCAGCAGAGCTCGCTGAGGACACCTCTGACGCCGCGGGCTGCTTCACGAGTGTCTCCGAGGCAGCAGCTCGGTGGTACACCCTGCCCGGGTGGATCACCCGACCGGGCCACCTGGGCGGGGCGCTCCGTTCCCGTACCGGCACCTTCTGAGGACGGTTACACTCCGGGTGATCGCAGTAACGCTCCTGGGGCTTGGCAGAGGCGCTGGGTTTGTTCCGAGAGCTGCAGTGACAGCAGCGGTTGCCCTTCTGAGCCATCTTTGTTTGATCTTCGCTCGGGCGCGTTCCCTCATTTCCACTTTTCGCATCGTCTTTCTCTTCGCCATCTTTCCCAGTCCGAAAACATCCTCGTCCAGAAGTCTTCTTCCGCTTCTCATCACCAGAATCGCCGGCAGCGACAGTGAGTTCAAGAGGCGCCGCGCGGACCTTGCCACTCCGCCTGCGCCGCTTCTGCGCCGGTTTGTCACTGGTGAATACCTGCAGTCGGTGTCTGCCCGCGGGTGCAGACTCCATCCTGCCCAGAGTGGCTGTGTCGCCACCCCACCCCGCTGCCACCGCCACTGCCGCGGCAGCCGCTACCGCTGCCGCGCTGCTTCTCGGGAGTCGTGGCGAGTTCTCCAGGAACTGGGCAGCACTGGCGGGGTCCAGAGGCAGCGGTCTGCCGGCCTCACAGGCCGGGCAGCGGCAGAGCAGCGTGCCGCGGGCCCTGAACCCGACACTGGGACGTCTCTCCGCGTCACCGGCCGGTCCCCAGAGGGCGCCGCGCACCCTCTCCCAGTGGCTGGTGGTGCGGCGCGCCGGCTCCGTCCTCCGCAGAGATGTCCGGGCGAACACAGACCGGGGAAGAGCAGTAGGTCCCGGGACACACCGCACCACCGAGCCCTGCCGCGTCCAGCCCCGGCGGGGACCCTGAACAGTATCACAGGAGACAGCCTCCTCCACCTTTCCACTCCATCCGGGGCGGGTCCTTTCAGTTCTCGAGCTCACAGATGGCCGGTGCCGGCGGCGGCGGTTCCGTGGTCGCGCCATTCTTCAGCGCCACCCCTTCGTTACCAGTGTCTCCTTTAAGTCTTACGGCACCCTGCACCCTCCGACCGCACGAGTACCGTCTCCGTCCGCTGTCACGGCCTCGGGTCCATCCAGCCAGCGCCAGTCCAAAACAAAGGTGTGGTCCGCCGCTGCTGACGCCGGACGGCCGCCCAGTCACCGTCGGGACGCCGAAGCCGGTCACCAAACCAGTTATGCTAACGCCGGGCCGGTGACAGCCGCCCAGTGCCGGAAGCGGTGAGCGGTGCGTCCACGGGCGCACGGCGCGTGTCCCCGCTGAAACCTCACAGAGGCGGGCCGAGATTACGGCTGCACCACGCGGCAGATGCACGGATAGCGTCGGCTACTTTATGAGCGGAGATTAATGGTGTTAGTAGCGTCTGTTGGACGACAGAGGAGCGCGATGTGTTAGTGTGGACCGTTATGTCGCGCTCATGGTCTCGGATTAGTGATGGTGCGGACGGGTCGGGCGCCAAACAAACACAGACGGGGGCGGCGTAAAACCACTGCGAACATGGGTGATAGACTAATACACCGACTTATCTTACATCACTCTGATCCGGTTATGGTAATATACAACAAACGAATTAACAAACTTGTTACGGTCTTAATCATAACCACGCTTTCTAAAAAAAAAACTGGATATATATGCACACAATTATGGACGTCGTAGGCCCTGATGGATTTTACATTAGTTACAGCTTAAATCCCGAATCATGAGAGGGATAATTGGTTAGCGGGATAACTGGTTCCTTTCCTCGTTGATTCAGTTCAGTCATTACCTTCGTATACACCGCTCTCGAGTAGATTGCCGGACCGCTCCAAATCCCGAAACTCGGACAGCGAGAGGAAGGTGTAATCGACGCCGGGTACCTGAGGAAGGAGCAACAGTCAGTACAGTCGGTCGACAGATTCATCATGATACATTGCTGGGAGTGGGAGTAGAGTGGCAGGGGCTTTTACAATAGGTACACAGTTTGCAACTTTGCAATGGGTAATCACACACAGTGGCAAACATACACATGACAGATGGTTTAGCGTCGTCAGAGAGGAACTCATGCATCATACCGATCAGACGTGATGCTTTGTCAATCTGAGCACCCCAGTATCAATTATAGCCCCATTGCTCCTCTGTTGAGCTCCTCACTGATAACCCTGACAACCAGCCTCCGACCGGACCGAATTACATCCATACCGATTACCGAGCCTGTCTAACTCTCCAACAGGTGCAGCGAATCCCTTTGTGGCCACCACACGCTCGCAGTCTCCCCCATTCAGCACAGGAACTCGCCGAGGACACTGACAAAGACCTGCGCACAGTCCGTCCGTCGGCTAAACATAGAGCCAGTCGGATTACGGCGCCCGTATCGTGTTTCACGCGTCACCCGGCTCCTTTGAGAAGAGATGGAGGAAGAAAGGTGCAGAAATCCTGCTGACGGTACCGACCGATCTGGGGCGGAGGCTCCACCCTGACCTTTCCCGGGGTCAGCTCCCTGAATGGCATCCCTTCCCTGTGTCTTGTTGGTTGGCCTTCTACTGGGCGGTGCATTATGAAAGATTTGGCGGTGCTACAGTTGAGTGTCAAAATAAAATGGCTCCACCCATGGAGCAGTTGGTCAGGGCGCCTGATGTGAAACAAACGGGTTAGACAGGCATAAACCTTGGTCAACATAAATACAAATAAGAAAGGTATGTAGTATGTAGATGTACTGTTACTACACTATTACTTGGCTTATAAGTACAGCACATTTAATCTGAGTATGTCCGGCGATAAGCCAGTATCCTTACCACAGTACTTGTGCTGTTCTAAATTCACTCCTTGATTGGCAACATTAACCTCACTGATCTAGCGGATATAACAGCTATTATACTGCTTGACCTTGTTTCGGGGCTTCACGTTTGGGCTACGCATGACAGCAATGGCATAGTTTGATAGAGGGTGCATTGCCCTTTAACTTCTTAGTAAGAGTTAATTCAGCTCTGAGTGTGGGTGTATCGAACAGTGACCTCGTTCGACCTCAGCACTGACCTTTGTTGATTGGTCAACATTGACATAATAACCCACTGAATAGGTCCACGATCTCGCCCAGTTAGAGACCACCACACCGCCTGACCCCTCCGGCGAGTACTAACCTCGTTAGGGCGGGGTGCGCGCGTGGTGACCGGTACCGTCCGCAGGTAGAGGTTGTCGCGGATGGTGTTCTGCAGCTCGTGGTCCACGGAGCCCTTCTGGAAGCGCGTGTTGAGGTACGTCCTCAGGTCACGCGTCAGCGAACCTGAAACACAGAGACAGTAGGGTCAGCTCGAGGACGGGGTTACACGCAGAGCAGGGTCACACAGCGGAGGTCACATAACGTAGGTTCACATGGCTCACATGGTAAAGTTTTAAACACAAGGCATACATAACACAGCCGGGGAGGTTGAGATATGGAGTATGGTCAAAAGGAAGGCTCAGATATATGGTAAGATCTTGATAAAATCAGATGCAATCATCGATACAAGCAGAAGCAACAAAAGCGACTGTGTGTCCTTCGCAGTGCACGAAGGACATAAGCCATGAGGTTCGTACTTACATCAGGTCTGACGTGGCCATTGTCCCCATTCTATGGCGTCTGGCGAGGCAATAAAAGCATGACTCAGGATAGGAGCAGGACAGCATCTAGGCACAAAAGAACGCCAATGTCGTCACGAAACGAATCAGTTAGGCCTGTCAGATGAGGTTAATGCATAACCATTCAGTTGGTTACCATGGTTACTAACGACACAACAATCGAGTGCCCTGCAATTTGGGACGTAATAATCCAGTTAGACCTAAAATACATGACAATCGAACCAACTCGCTGCAAACTTTCTGCGCTGCCACTGGCCAGCCAACTCTGCGAGACTGGTCCGGTTGTTGGAGCAGAACCACTGACTGTTCTGGTCTGACGGAATAGCAACTATTATCCCTCGGTACAGAAGTCCACCACATCTTCCAGCGTCTCCAGTGCCGTGCTCTAGTGAAGCACATCAGACCAAGTTCATGGTCGTTCCTCATAACGACAGACGGCGACCCACTGCAGCGTGGGTAGGGCCGTCTGCCAGTCTTTAAATCGGCCACCAGTCAGCCTCGGGTCAGCCTCGCGGAGCAGTCACGGGTCAGCGCCGGGACGGACCGGAAGCTGACCGGAACTAGGCAGGAAATGGGACAGCGCGCCCGTCTGTGTACAGAGGACAGGCGAGAGGGTGAGAGGACGAGAGGGGTTCCGGCGACAGCACTTCATCGGCCTAAAAGCGAGGTGGAAATAACGCAGTAACGTCGTCCCAGCGCGGCTGGCAGTGATCAGTGCAGCTAACCCGTAACATGTAAGCACACAGAGCTATCATAACGACAAGGGCCTACTCAAAGAATATGTTCGCCGGAGGGATAAAATATGAGCCTCCTTTGACCTGAGGATTTCAGCGGGAAGGCACAAGTTACGACTCTTCCAGCCACATAGAACTCTCCATTTGGCGGAAGCGGAACAGACCGAACCATTTTGGCAGAGCACGCCAGAGCCGGATTGAACATGGCAGCGCCGCCTTCCAAATCGGTCCCTGCAGACGCGGGGCGGCGGGCTGCTGATTTAATCAGTCCCGGACTGAGTTTATTTGGTCAGCTTCGGCGTGTTCCGGCCGTCAGCCCCCATTGAGGTGTTTTGAGTTCGCCGAGTCACAGCGAATGGGCCAGTCACTTGGGCCGGAATGAAGGTGATGAAAAATAAAGTGTCAACAAGCCGTCTAATCTGCATGTGCTATTCCAACGGAACTGTGGAAATTGACTAAACAACGCCCTAAAGCATGCAAACAGTACACAACTGAGAGAGAAAGCATGCCCTTGGCAGTGAGTGCCGAAATGATGTTCCGAATGATCGGCACTGAATGACTACTATGGTTGGCATAACCAACACATCGCAGAACTTATAACGACAGCCATTCATAACAAGCAAGCACATCACACGTCTTGCGATAGGAATGGAATTGGTGACTTGAATTTGAATGTTATGGACTCGGACGATTGAATTCAACAGTGATTATCTGTTCCCATCAGGGTATATAGAACAACGTTTCCATCGCCATAACAGCGCACCACTGCTGCCAGAACACACACCATTCTGGCACAGGCTGCAATATGACACGCCACATTTCGCCGGAGATGACGGAAGAACAAACAATGCGGGCCACCACGCCCCACCCTCAGCACGAGCCGGAACGTCCGGCACCGCTGCCAGCCGGGCCATGCACGCTAGACCGTGACAATGTTGATGTTTTTGGCAGAACCCGCGCTGGAATCTTGCCCGTAAAGTGGCCTATCCAGTAAAAACTCGTTTATTTTCGGAGCCGTGGCGCAGCGCGGCGGCTGGACGGCAGCTGAAGACCGGCGCTCCACACGGGGTCCGCTGAGGCGCATAGCGGCGCATGCCGACACGAAGGACACATTGCGGGACACCCGAAACGTAACGGCCCACCGGGACATGTGGTCCTCACTTATTACCACTTACAGCAGCGCAGCGCACAGTGGTTTATACAAGGCACACTTCGAGCGTTGTTTTATGGGAAGCACACTCCTACAGTTTAAACTCTAAGACCATTGCAGAGCTAAATACGAGCAGTCTACGACTGCCTTACAAGCGTCTCAGGACCGATGTGACTACATTCAGCCAGGCCACACAGCGTGAGCTACGGAAGGAGGATGACGGTGCTACCACCTGAGGGTAACCGCTCACAGATGGCGGCGCCGGTGGCAGACAGGGTGGGTGGGCGCCGGTGGCGGCTGGTGGTCAGGGATGGGCAGCCACCCGACCGTGACGGCGCGTCACGGAGTCACGGGCTGACGGTCCGTGACCGTGAGTCACGAGTCACGAAGTGTGTGGAGCGTGGCAGCGATCACCAGGCACGAATCAGTCGGCCATCGATGGAGCGACAGGCGGACTCACCGGCAGGCGGCAAGCAGGCGATCCGTGAGTGAGTCACGAGGAGTCACGAATCGGTCAGACAGAGTCACGGAATCACGAGGATGGATACCAGACAAAGCACATATTGAGCAATGAGGATTCGAATTTAAGAACCAGCTTTGTAAAAAGAAAAACCAGACGTCGACTGACCCGAGCTCACAAAGAGGGCTCTCTTCTGCCTCTTCCCCCCCCCCCCCCCAGGCCGCCGACCTCTCGTGTCGCTGCCTTCTCTCCGGTCAGCGTCTGTTGGTGTCTGTCGTCGCGCTGGTCTGGTGCCAACCGCTGGCGGTCTGTCCCTCCCTCCATCCCCTCCCACTAGGTGACGACCGGCGCGGTGGTCGTGCCCCCCCCCCCCCCCAACTAGGTAGCGGTCGGTGTTGCCCCCCCCCCCCCTCCGATGGCGGCCGGCTGCGCCCGAACAGCTGGTGGTCGCTGACGTCTGTTTCGTCATTCCCCGGGCGTAGGACGCCGACCCGACCGCTCACCCCTCCCCTCCCCTCCCCTTGGCGGGGGGCAGGGTCCCCAGGGTCCGTCTCCAGACGCCGGAAGTTGGACGGTAGGGTGAAGCAGAGACCGTTGGAGTACAAACGTCTGCAGAGGGTCAGCTGGTGGCCGCAGCTGTCAGACGGACAGAGGTAGAAGACTGAGACAAAGGAAACACATTCGGACCACTTCCAGACTCCTAAAAGACACCGACAAGAAACTGAGCAGCAAACAGACAACAGACGCACAGCTGGAGCAACAAAGAGCGTATATCAACGCACACCAAACAAAGAGCAAACAGCCGAATTGGCACTGACTCGCACTGGTGTAAAGTTGGTCCAGATGATGTCTACTGCATGCAAGTGAGCAAGGCGAGAAGGCGACTTACAACCATATCATATCACTCTCGCTGCCCCTCCCCACTAACAGGCGGGGAGTTCGTCTGCCCCCTTGCCACGTGCCGTCCAGAAGGTATTGCCGTTCAGCAAGGAACAGCCGTAGATCGCTCAACTGGGGAGCCAACAGCCGTCAGCACCGGCCACCTGGCGTGCAGGCCGGAAGTGACTGAGCGGGCAGCGGACAGTCACCCCTTATCCCTTCTCCCCTCCCTGCACCGGGGGACCGGCCTGCAGTGAGGTAATCTGGGGATCTCTGGAACCGCCCGGTTCTGCAGTGAGTCGCGTGGAACCAAGGGGAACCAACGAGCTGGTTCTGCATGACAACACGGGCCGACATGGGCCAGACAGGACGACTGACGGGTCACCAGGAGCTGAGCGAACAGTTATCGTGAGAAACCAAGCGCGCCTGAATCTAACTCATGCCTCCTAGAACCACAGAGGACCAACACAGCTTCCCTGGAACCACCGAGAACCAGCACAGTCTTCCGGGACCCATGGAAAACCTGCAGCCTTCCAGAAATCACCCAGAAACGGAGCAAAACTAGAGCCACAAAAACTGACGGAAGTCGGCGTACTGTCCCAGGGCCGGTAGTGGTAACCAGATACAAAAATAACCGCCCGGCGGGAGCAGTGGTTGTTGGGAGGTTCCCAGAGCTGATGGCAGCCAGTTAACCGCTGAGAAGAAGCGCGGTCTACACGTGAACCGTCGGTCCTCTACACACGGTACCGCAGACCGTTCCCTGAACCGGCCCCACAACGGTCAACGAGTCTCCAGTAGGGAGGGAGGGAGGGTGCAGCCTGATGGGGAGGCCAGGGTACGGAGGATGATGCAAGCGTTCTAACCAGTATTTTACACACATCGTAGGGCATGTTGAGGAGGAGCAATGGCCGAACGGTGAAATGGTGTTATGCATGAACAACATTTTCTTAGAATGTAGTAGCCAAGGAGAACGTCAGTCATCACGAGCCCATGGACTGAAAGGAGAGGGGAGCTGCATCTGACCGCCCGTCCTTAACATCGCACATGGTTCAAGCCGCTGGTTTGACTGTATTTCTGAGCAGTGGCCAAGGAAGAGCGAAGACGTGGCACAGCAGTGGCAGCAGCAGCGGCAGCTGCGCGGCTGCTGCCGCCGGGCTGCCCCCGAGCCACAGGGGCCGTCTGTCCGACCTGACCAGGGCGTGCAGCCTGCAGCAGCTTTCAGCGCAGAACAGCCCCGTCATCCCTCGGCTGCCGGCGTCAGCAGCCGTCAGCACGGGGCAGATACACCGGCTCGGATCAGCGCCACCGACAGCCGTCAACAATAGCCGGCAAATCGGCTGAGACATAAACGTCATTGGCTACGGTTTGAAAGACGAAGCTGGCCAAAGGCGCAGCGTTGTCCGTTCCTAGCATCGCCCCAGGTAAACCTCATCACCTCCGCT